CCTCTCCTCCTCTCTCTCTCTTCTCCTCTCTCTCTCTCCTCCTCTCTCTCTCTTCTCCTCTCTCTCTCTTCTCCTCTCTCTCTCTTCTCCTCTCTCTCTCTTCTCCTCTCTCTCTCTTCTCCTCTCTCTCTCTTCTCCTCTCTCTCTCTTCTCCTCTCTCTCTCTTCTCCTCTCTCTCTCTTCTCCTCTCTCTCTCTTCTCCTCTCTCTCTCTTCTCCTCTCTCTCTCTTCTCCTCTCTCTCTCTTCTCCTCTCTCTCTCTTCTCCTCTCTCTCTTCACTGCAAATTTAGACAATATTAGGGATGGAGAAAAGGAGGAGGAGGAGAACGAATAAGAGGTAATGGCAGAAAGGGTGATAAAAGGGGGGAAACAGCCAGATAACGAGAAAATATTTCTTCCAGACGTACATAGAAACAGATACGTACATGTGTGTGTCCGTGTGTACGCGTCGAGGAGGAGGAGGAAGAGAGAGAGAGAGGAAACAAATTTCTTTTCTTTCTTATTCCTATTCTCTCTTCCTGTTCAGATCGTTGGGGAAAGAGAGGAAGAGAGAGAGAGAGAGGGAGAAAGAAAAAAAGTTATTATTATTATCTCTCTCTCTCTCTTCTCTTCTCCGTCTTTTTGGCCAAGCATTATCGCTGTTTTTTTTTATTATTCCTTTCTTTTCCCCTCTATCGGTTCTTCCTCTTCCTCCTTTTATCCCTTTTTCAAGATCTTTTCTCCTCTCTTCTTCTGCCAGTTATTTTCATCTGTCTTTATTCTCCTTTCTTCATCTATTTTGCTCTCCCATCTTCGCTTTTCTTTATGCTTTTTCCTTCTCCTTCCTTCGTCTTTCTTTATGTGTCTTCTTCCTCCTCCTCTTCCATTTTCCTCCATCCTCCATCCATCTTCCTCTTCCTCCATCATCCTCTTCCTCCTCCATCATCATCATTATCCTCTTCTTCCTAAATTATCCTCCTCTTCCTCGTCCATCCATCCATCCTCCATCCTCTTCCATCCATCATCCTCTTCTTCCATCCTCCTCTTCTTCCTCCATCCTCCTCTTCCATCCTCCTCTTTCCTTCTTCTTATCCTCCTCTTCCATCATCCTCCTCCATCTTCCTCCATCATCCTCTTCTTCCTCCATCCTCCATCCTCCTCCTCCTCCTCCTGCTTAGATAGGACGGGTGAAGTTCGCCGGGAAGAGACCTTTCTCTAAAGTGGTCTCTTTGACGCCGCACAGCCAGCCTTCTTCCTGCGAATTGGGAGAGAGAGAGAGAGATTAAGAGGAGGGAGAGAAAAGAGAGAGAGATTAAGAGGAGGGAGAGAAACAGGGGAGAGAGGGAAGAGAGGAGGGAGAGAAAGAGGGGAGAGATTAAGAGGAGGGAGAGGGAAGGAGGGAGAGGGGAGAAAGAGGGGAGAGGGAGGGAGAAGGAGGGGAAGAGAGGAGTGGGGAGAAGGAGGGAGAGAGAGAGAGAGAGAGATTAAGAGGAGGGAGAGAGGGAGAGAGAAAAGAGAGAGAGATTAAGAGGAGGGAGAGAGAGGGAGAGAGAGAGAGAGAGAGAGATTAAGAGGAGGGAGAGAGAGAGAGATTAAGAGGAGGGAGATAAAGAGGAGGTGGGGAGAGGGAGGGAGAGGGGAGAGGGTGGGAGAGAGAGAGGAGGAGGGGGAAGAAGGAGGGAAAGAGAGAGAGATTAAAAGGAGGGAGAGAAAGGGGAGGAGAGGGAAGAAGGGGAGATTAAGAGGAGGGAGAGAGAGAGAGAGAGAGATTATGAGGAGGGAGATAAAGAGGAGGAGGGAGAGAGAAGAAGGAGGGAGTGGGGAGAGGGAGGGAGAGAGAAAAGAGAGAGATTAAAAGGAGGGAGAGGGAAGAAGGAGGGGATGAGAGGAGTGGGGAAAAGGAGGGAGAGGGAGGGAGATGGGAGAGAAAAGAGAGAGAGAAAGAGGAGGAGAGGGAGGGAGATGGGAGAGAAAAGAGAGAGAGAAAGAGGAGAGGGAGGGAGAGAGAGAGAGATTAAGAGGCGGGAGAAAGAGAAAAAGAGAGATTAAGAGGAGGGAGATAAAGAGGGGAAGGAAGAGGGAGAGGAAAGGGGAAGAGAGGGAAGGAGAGGGGAGAGAAAGTGGGGAAGAAGGAGGAAGAGATTAAGAGGAGAGAATGGGAGATTAAGAGTGAGAAAGAGGGAATGAGAGTAAGAGAGATTAAGAGGAGTGAGATAAAGAGGGGAAGAAGGAGGGAGAGAGAATGAGAGAAAAGAGAGATTAAGAGGAGGGGGAAGAACGAGGGAAAGAGAGAGAGTAAGAAGAGGGAGAAAGAGGGAGAAAGAGGGAGAGAGAGAGAAGTTAGAAAGAGGGGAGAGGGAATGAGAGAAAGAGAGATTAAGAGGGGAAAAGGAGAGAAAATGGGGAGAGGGAAGGATAGAAAAAGAGGGAAAAATAAATATTAAAGAAGAGTTAGAAAGAGAGAGAGAGAGAGAGAGTAAGAGTTCGAAAGAGGGGAGAGAATAGGAGAAGGAGGAATAGAATAGGAGGAGAATGAGAGAAAGAGAGATTAAGAAAGAGGGGGAGTAAGAGAGAAGAAAGGTGAGAGGGAAGTAGAGAATAGGAGGAGGGAGAGAAAAAAAAGGAGAGGGAAAGAGAGAGAGACAAAAAGTAGAGGGAGAGGAAAAGAGAGACAAAAAGTAGAAGAGAGAGAGAGAAAAAAATGGGTAGAGGGAGAGAGAGAAAACGAAGAGAAAGAGAATGAGAAAGAAAAACAAACGAAGATCAAGGAAGAGTAACTGAGAGGTAAATCATAGTGAGAGAGAGAGAAAAAAGAGAGAGAGAGAAAGAGAGAAAGAGAGAGAGAGGGATGGAGATAGAAAGAGAGAGAGAGGGATGGAGATAGAAAGAGAGAGAGAGGGATGGAGATAGAAAGAGAGAGAGAGGGATGGAGATAGATAGATAGAGAAAGAGAGAGAGAGAGAGAGAATGAAAGAGAGAAAAGGGGTTTGAAATATCTCAAAAACTTACCACATAAACAGACTAAAAAAAAAAAAGAAAAGCAAAAAGAGGCCCTAGACCACCCTAACATACCTAAAATACCCAAAATACCCTAAAACGAGACCTCAAACTCCCCAGATTCCCCTAAAAATACCTCAAACTCCCAAAAATACCCCAAAACAAGACCCTAGACGCCCTAAAATGCCCCTAAAAATAACCCATCTGCTCCTCTGGGTCGTCGCACTACCTAAAAATCCCTAAAAATACCTTAAACGAAACCCAACACTCCCTAAAACACCCCCAAATACCCCCACACTCCCCAAACACCCCACACTCCCTAAAATACCCCCACACTCCCCAAAATATCCCTAAATTACCCCAAAATACCCCTTACCTGCTCCTCGGGGTCGTCGTACTCCACCACCTGGATCACGTCGCCCTAAAAATACGCTAAAACGAGACCCCAGACTCCCATAAAGGAACAGACCCTAAAAACACCCCAAAATACCCCCAAAACGAGACCCCAGACGCCCTAAAAATAACCAGATTCCCCCAAATATCCTAAAACGAGACCTCAGACGCCCTAAAAATACCCAAATTACCCAAAATACCTTAAAATAAGACCTTAGACGCCCTAAAATACCCTAAAATCACCCCAAAATACCCTAAATTACCCCAATATACCCCAAAATACCCTTACCTGCTCCTCGGGGTCGTCGTACTCCACCACCTGGATCACGTCGCCCTAAAAATACGCTAAAACGAGACCCAGACTCCCATAAAGGAACAGACCCTAAAAACACCCCAAAATACCCCAAAACGAGACCCTAGACGCCCTAAAATACCCCCAAATACCCTAAAATAAGACCCTAGACGCCCTAATATACCCTAAAAACGCCCTAAAAGTGCCCCCTTACCTGCTCCTCGGGGTCGTCCCACCACCTGGATTACGTCGTCCACCTCGTCCTCGCGCGTGTCCTTGTACGTGGCCCCTAAGAATACCCCAAAATACCCCAAAATACCCCGAAACACCCTAAAACGAGACCCTAGACGCCCTAAAAATACCCAAATTACCCAAAATAGCCTAAATAACCCAGACGCCCTAAAAACACCCCAAAATACCCCAAAATAACTTAAAACGAGACCCTAAACACCCTAAAATACCCCAAAACGAGACCCTAGACGCCCTATAATACCCCAAAATACCCTAAATTACCCCAAAATACCCATACCTGCTCCTCGGGGTCGTCGTACTCCACCACCTGGATCACGTCGCCGACTTCGAAGCTGATTTCGTCCACGTCCTCGCGCGTGTACTTGTATGTGGCCCCTAAGAATACCCCAAAATACCCCCAAAATACCCCAAAATACCCTAAAACGAGACCCTAGACGCCCTAAAAAATACCCAAATTACCCAAAATAACCTAAATAACCCAGACGCCCTAAAAACACCCCAAAATACCTTAAAATAAGACCCCACACTTCCCAAAATACCCCAAAACGAGACCCTAAACACCCTAAAACACCCTAAAATACCCTAAAATACCCCAAAATACCCTTACCTGCTCCTCAGGGTCGTCGTACTCCACCACCTGGATCACGTCGCCGACTTCGAAGCTGATTTCGTCCACGTCCTCGCGCGTGTACTTGTATGTGGCCCCTAAGAATACCCCAAAATACCCCAAAATACCCTAAAACGAGACCCTAGACGCCCTAAAAATACCCAAATTACCCAAAATAACCTAAATAACCCAGACGCCCTAAAAACACCCCAAAATACCCAAAAATACCCTAAACGAGACCCTAGACGCCCTAAAATACCCAAATTACCCAAAATAACCTAAATACCCCAGAGACGCCCTAAAAACACCCCAAAATACTTAAAATAAGACCCCACACTCCCTAAAATACCCCAAAACGAGAACCTAGACGCCCCAAAATACCCTAAAACACCCTAAAATACCCCAAAATACCCCTAAATACCCCTTACCTGCTCCTCGGGGTCGTCGTACTCAACCACCTGGATCACGTCGCCGACTTCGAAGCTGATTTCGTCCACGTCCTCGCGCGTGTACTTGTATGTGGCCCCTAAGAATACCCCAAAATACCCCAAAATACCCTAAAACGAGACCCTAGACGCCCTAAAAATACCCAAATTACCCAAAATAACCTAAATAACCCAGACGCCCTAAAAACACCCCAAAATACCTTAAAATAAGACCCCACACTCCCTAAAATACCCCAAAACGAGAACCTAGACGCCCCAAAATACCCCCAAAACACCCTAAAATATCCCAAAATACCCTTACCTGCTCCTCAGGGTCGTCGTACTCAACCACCTGGATCACGTCGCCGACTTCGAAGCTGATTTCGTCCACGTCCTCGCGCGTGTACTTGTACGTGGCCCTCACGCGGTACAGCACGCCCGGGGGGAGGTTGTCCGTCGTGGCTCCTGGGGGGGAAATTGGTGGGGTGTGAAATTGGGGGTGGGGGTGAAATTGGGAGAAATTGGTGGGGGGTGAAATTGGGGGGATTGGGGGAGAAATTGGTGGGGGGGTGAAATAGGTGGGTGTGAAATTAAGGGAGAGAGTGTGGGGGGGGGGTGAAATTGTGTGGGGATTGGGGGAGAGTGGGGGGTGGAATTGGGGGAGAGTGGGGGGGGTGAAATTGGGGGTGAGAGACAGGGGGGGGTGGGGGAATTGGGTGAAATTGGTAGGTAAAATTTATGAAGGTGGAGTGAAATTGGGGGAGAGTGGGGGGGGGGTGAAATTGAGGGAGAGAGAGTGGGGGGGTGAAATTGGTGGGGGTGGAATTGAGTGAAATTGGGGGGGATTGGGGTTTTGCAAAATTGGGTGAAATTTGGAGAGGGTGAAATTGGGGAGTTGTCTTTTGTAATAGAAGGAATTGTTTTTGAAATTGGGAGAACTGTTTTTTTTTATTTGGGCGATATTGGGTGATTTTTTTTTTTTTTTGGGGGGGGGCGAAATTGGATGAATTGTTTTGAAATTGTTTTTGAAATTGGGGAGTTGTCTTTTGTAATTGAGGCAAAATTGGGGAAATTGTTTTTGAAATTAGGGTGTAATTGGGGCGAAATTGGGGGGGGGAGATCGTTTTTGAAAATAGGGCTTTTGTAATTGGGGTGAAACTGAGTTGTTGAAATTGGGTTGAAATTTGTCTTTTGAAATGGGGGGGAGGGGTGAATTTGGTTTTTAAAAATTGGGTAAAATTGGGATATTGAATTTTGTTTTGAAATTGGTTTTGAAATTGGGTTGAAAAATATATTTCTTTTATGAATATATATATTTTTTTAATATCTAGTTTTATTTATAAGTTAGTATTTTTATATTTAAACTATTTTGAAATCTAAATCGAAAAGAAAAGTTTCTAATGCTTTCATAAAACAATAAAACAAAAAACAAAAACAAAAAAAAATATTTTGAAATTGGCTTTAAAAACCGGATTAAAAATAAATATATATATATATATATATACATATATATATATATATATATATATATATATATATATATATATATATATATAATGAGTCAGTCAGATAAAAAAAAAATAAATTAACTGATTTTAAAACGTATTAAAAAAAAGGAAGAAAAAAAAAAGATTTGAAATAAATATGAAAAAATCTAAAAATACATTTTTTTAAATGCATCTTTCAAAACAAAATTTGAAATGCATTTTTCAAAAACTTTCCAAAAACGTGATTTTGAATTACGTATTTTTAAAGCCAATTTCGACATTTTTTCTATTTTCTAAAACTGAATTTATATGAAATCCATTTTTTTAAAGTGATTTTGAAACACAATTTCAAAAAAATGATTTTGAAATACCATTTTTGAACAGGCTGCTAGTGACCAGACCTAGAGGAGAGAGTAAATGTATTTAGAATTTGAAATTTTAGAATGAGCGAGAGAGAGAGAGAGAGAGAGAGAGAGAGAGAGAGAGAGAGAGAGAGAGACAGACAGACAGAGAGAGAGAAAGAGAGACAGAGAAAGAGAGAGACAGACAGACAGACCAAGAGATAATTGATATTAGAAAGGGTTATTTTTTGTTAATTAATACTAACAATAATTAATAAATCATTAATAAGTTATTAATAACAATAATAACAATAATAATAAAAACAATGATAATAATAATAATGAAGGTGACAGTAAAACAGAATATATATATACACATTCATATGCATACATATGCATATATAGATATACACATTTATACATACTTACATTTTATATATATGTATTTGTATATGTACATGTATAGATGTACATGTGTGGATATATATATATATATATATATATATATATATATATATATATATATATATATATATATATATATATGGAGAGAGAGAGAGAGTGATAGAGAATGGAGAGAGAGAGAGAGAAAGAAAGGAGAGGGAGAGAGAAAGGAGAGAGAAAGGAGAGAGAGAGAGAGAGAGAGAGAGAGAGAGAGAGAGAGAGAGAGAGAGAGAGAGAGAGAGAGAGAGAGAGAGAGAGAGAGAGAGAGAGAGAGAGAGAGAAAACAAACAAACAAACAAACAGTAAGTAGAAATCCCAACAGGCTACAAAAAAAATAAATTAAAACCCCTTAGATGGCAATACTCCACAGGTCAGAGGTGCGTGCTTACATACGCGTACATGTGCGTATGTGCGTGCTTACAGCCGCGTACATGAGCGTATGGGGTGCTTATATACGCGTACATGTGCGTATGTGCGTGCTTGCAGTCGCGTACATGAGCGCATGTGGGTGCTTACATACGCGTACATGTGCGTATGTGCGTGCTTATATACGCGTACATGTGCGTATGTGCGTGCTTGCAGTCGCGTACATGAGCGTATGTGCGTGCTTATATACGCGTACATGTGCGTATGTGCGTGCTTGCAGTCGCGTACATGAGCGTATGTGGGTGCTTACATACGCGTACATGTGCGTAATGGCGTGCTTAAAGACGCTTACATGTGCGTATGCGCGTGCTTAAAGTCGCGTACATGTGCGTATGCGCGTGCTTACAGTCGCGTACATGTGCGTATGCGCGTGCTTACAGTCGCGTACATGTGCGTATGTGCTTACAGACGCGTACATGTGCGTATCAGCGTGCATACAGGAATCGAAAGCATACATGTGCAAAGTTGTGTACGTATAGGAAGCATACATGTGCAAAATTGTGTGCGTATAGGAAGCATACATGTGCAAAATTGTGTGCGTATAGGTTACTACATGTGCAAAATTGTGTGCGTATAGGAAGCATACATGTGCAAAGTTGTGTGCGTATAGGTTACTACATGTGCAAAATTGTGTGCGTATAGGAAGCATACATGTGCAGGTTACTACATGTACGCACGTGCTTGTGTACAGGAACCTACATGTACGTAAGTGCAGGCGTACAGGTAACTACTATCTAAACAGCCATAGGCCTATCTAATCACAGATACAAAATCACTTCATAAATATATTTATTTATCTGAATAAAATTTTAAATATAAGCTTTTTTTCTTCAATGCCGACCAACATAAAAAAAAAAAAAAAAAAAAAAAGCCAGGCGCCAAACTAGACAAAAAAATATATATTTGCACTATAGGCCTATATGCAAATTCTCGCATAGGCCTACGCAAACCGAGAGAGAGGGGGAGGGGAGAGGGGAGGACCAGTAACATATAGCACTTTCA